CCAGGCACTGCACCGCGCGCCGCTCCCGCCCGCAGCGACCGCCCCACGTCCGACGGGGGGACACCAGTCCCGTCCCCAGTCTGTGCCCTGCCTTTCCAGCAGCGGGTGTCAAGAACGAGCGGTGCCGTTTTGAAAAAGCAGCAGCTGGTGCAGCTATGATTTCCAGGAACAGCTTCGATCAGCCTTTCCCGTCCCTCCAGGAGCTTCCCTAACTTTACACCGGATGCCTGGATTCTCCTGGACGCAGAGAAATGTCCTCACAGCTCTGCTGCTCCTCTGGCTTAGTGCCCTTGTGGCTGGGGGGGGGGGGGGGGTCCCAGGGACCTGCGAGGTGGTCCTCACCAGGCTAGAGCCCTCGGAAATTACATCCCATTGGAAGTGACACCACCAACCCTTACTTGATACGTTCCCTTTAAGTCAGGAAAGCAAAGAGAAAGATAAACAAAAGGCTACATGTAAAACACTACCTCCCTCTCTGAGCCAAAGCCTCCAGGACCTGAACTCTCTCTGAACCTGCCTACAGCCCCTCAAGCAAAGTTCTTCCAATCACTGTTTCCTCAAAATTTGAAAAAAAGAGATTCATGCAGACATGTTAGTGTGACCTCACCAGCAGGCAAGGCTTCATGATGCCCTTTGAAGCAAAGCCTAATTGATTACATGACAGTGAACACCATTCTCCTAAGAGTGGACCCTGGCAGAAAGACCATGCAAAGCACTCAATGCAACGCAAATCAGAAACTCCTCATTAAAGTGTGGATGCACACAGACCTGGATAAAGGTGAGTTAACAAAAAGGGGTATTATCAGATGGGAAGGAGATCATTTGCAGAGTCACTTGAGGATCTTTGGACAAATCTAATTTAACATTTTTCAATAGAGTTGTGGGCAAAACAGTATGCGGGTTCTGGTGAAACTTCTATGTGACATTAGGTTGGAAGCACTGCCAGTACCAAGGAGATGAAGATATCATACAGGTCTGTATGGCTTTGAAAAGTGAGGTAACAAAAACACACTAAAATTTAGTTAGCACAGAGCACAAAGATGCACACTCTGGAACTAATGGGCCTGATTCAGAAAACCCTGGGAAAGTACTTACTGGTTTCTATGGGATTTGGATCACACCATAATGACAAGAATGTCTGCACTAAGCAGACAACCTATCACCTTAAAAAAACTAATTCAAGGTGGAACAGGTACAAAAATGTAAAGGCAGCACACATCCTGCATCCTGCTGTCCTGAGCTAATGGAGACTGCCAGTAATAACAACACAAAGTGAATGGATCTGCTAAGTCACACTTTTTTAAATAGGAGTAATACAGAAATATCCACAGCCTCAGTCAGGAAAGGAATATTCCTTCTCTTCCTTGAACACACTATAATCTGACCAGCAATGAAGAAATCAAGCCTGTACACATCAGCTCTACCTCCTCCCACCAGCATCCAACCACCCCCTTCTGCGTTGTGCACAGAGGCCTGGTGTCTGCCTTCTGGCCAGGACACGGAAGAGAAACTGTGTCAGCTGCACAGAGGGATATACTCCGTGCACCAACAGACACAGGACAGATATCGGTGATTACTGTCTGGTCTAACCTTTTTGCTTTGTTTGACATTGTCAGCCAAGGAACAGTGCCATTTCAACCTGAGAAAGGGGACGGTGTCATGAAGGTTCATCCTCCCTTGACCAATGCACACAGCAGACTGCAACACAAAAATGTCTTCACATCATTAGACTCCCTCTCTGCTGATAACCCAAAGGGAACAGTTCTCCCTTGCTGGATTTATTCAGCATTAAAGGGTGGCCAATAAGATAACTGTTCAGATGGGAGAGAAATACTGCTCTGCCTGTGCTTCATCACA